CTTTTAGATAACCACAAGTGGTTAAAACACTTCTTTGTCTGCTTGTAGATTTTTTTGTCCACAGCAATGAAAACTTGGCTTATTCTCTGGAAATAGCTTTTTTTTTTTTTTAAACTGTGGAGAATTGCAGAAGTTAGAAGGCCTTCTTCCCCATTAAAAGATTTTAGAAATTTAGAAATTGATGCATTCAGGCATGGAAACACAAAAGGTAAAAAAAAAAAAAAATAATAATAAAATACAAATCGTCTTCCAGATTGATGTCAACACCCAGCTTCTCTTACTATAATTAACTGCTTATTTGATTGTGAGTTTGGTACTAAACCAGCCTTAATGATTTACACCAAAACAATTCTGGCTCCTTTGAAATCTCTTTTCCCTATCACAGGAGAAATGGAGGCATGAGAAAATTGCTGTGAGTGAAGGGAGTGGGAGGGTGCTTGTGCCTCTTGTGTGTCGTCGTCTTGATGCAGAGACCATCCAAACACAACAAGGCAGTGAGGACAGGCTCTGTTTCTTACTACCTCCTTCCTAGGAATGCGTTAGCATTCACTCAGAGAAGAGTATGAACACAATGGTTTCACAGAGCTCTGTCCTTCCCGTAACACAGCAGTTGTGTTTCACTGCATTTCAAATATAAAGGACAGAAGTTGCACACGGGCTAAATAAGTTGTTGTCGCAGCCCAAAGAGGGCTGACATTCCTTCATTCCTGCAAAGCCACTTCTTTATCTGGCATTCTGTTTTTACCTAGGTATTGCCAGGAAAAACAAAAACAGATAAGATGTGAATTTTAAGAAGCGGGCAATGGGAAAGCAGACAACCCAAACTAAAAGCCTTATGAACCCTCATACATCATGAAACATTTCTCCCGCATTTGTTACTCCTTTTTCTTTCACAACAGGCAGTAAATGACAGAGCCAAGGGAAGCTCAGGTTTCAGCTTCCATTTACACTTCACCTAGGTGCACGGCCACCATCAAACTCTGAGGTGCTGCACCAGAGTGCTGCACAAAGGGCCCACGCCATAACACAGAGCTCTCCTTGAGATCTCTGCAGAATTGCTGCACCCCCAGGAACGGGTGCACAGCATTGCTCAGCACCATGGCAGGGTGCCACTGCTCTGCCAGAACTACCCATGGCACATCTATACATGTTCTGAAAGCACATGCAATCTGTCTGAGATGCTGCCACAGACATGTGGAATGCAGCACTGCATGGGAAGGAATCAGTTCATTTTGCAGAATAACTGGAAACTCTATTTCATAGCTGTCATGTCACAGAGCGAAATATGTAATCAAATAAAACCCCAGGCTTTTTCGATGCCTCCTTCCTAATACCCAGCCACAGCTTTAAACTATAAGGACTTCTGAGCTCCAGAGTGCTGAGTGGAGTCACCTACTGGCATCCAGAAAGCAGAGCCCATCAGCAGACACTTCCCCCAGGTCCTGCTGGCAGTCCCGCCTCGAAGGATGTGTAAAGCAAATGCAGAAGGGAAGAAGTATCTTTCAGAGCTGTTTTACGGCTTTCATTTTCTTGGCAAATTTTTCTCTAGCCATCAAATACCAAGGATGTATTTAGAAAAAAAATTAAAAACTGTGGAAACAAATAAAAGGTAAGTTTGACCAATTATATTTCCTCATTTGGTATGAAAGCTTATACTTGTCCAACAGTCAAACTTAATCTTAACAAAATAAGCTATTCTAAATCGCTTTTGAAAAATAGTCACATATGGGATGCATTACATACGTAGGTGTTTTGAGGCTAGAAAACATATTTTTATTCTATGTCTGCAGCACATAGCGCCGTGGAATTCTGGTGAGTGACCATGGCTCCTAGGTGCAGAGAGCATTACAAGCACACAACCTGACTGTACACATTTATATTTGAAACAAGAAAGCTTTTCAGGCATACCAGGACACCATTCCTTGCAGAGCTGGAGGAGGTTTTAAAGTGCTTAAAGTGAGCGATTTTATCTCAAAGCAATTTATACTTTTGATTTCCTATGTCCTATTTCTGAGCACTCACAAATGAAATGCAGGTATATGTCTAAATGAAGTGATATTTTCAAAAGACAATGGCAAAGTCAAAACAATTTATTAAAAAAACATAACCGACAAACACCAATAAACATTTCCCCTTGCTTATTTTTTTTTTGTCATTCTGTTGATGAAAATCTATACACTAAAATAATGATGTTCTGTCAATCTAAATGTGAAGCATAGTCCAGAGGCTGATTATTCACTAGGCTCTATGAAAAATTTATCATAATTCACACTAACGTCAGCTCTTCATATTGTTTGATACAAAGTATAATTTTGAGATAAAGTTCTCTAAACTACACTTATATGAAGGTCTTTTTTTACATAATAATCTCTACCAGAATAAACAGTAAAATGTCTGAAAGAGAACCACAGGACTGGTACATTAACAAAGTGCTCTGAAAGCACAGGAAATCTTCCCTTATTTTATGCCATTTATTACTCTTTGCCTGCTTAAATAAAATGTTTGAAATAAAAAAATGAAAACCCTTTCCCATGCTGATTGATAACACGAAAATCAGAGTCATTAAGGCTGGAAAAGACCACTAAGATTATCCAATCCAGCCATCAGCCCATCAACACCATGTCCACTAAACCACATCCCTCACTGCCATACCTCCATGTTTCCTCATCAGTGCTACTAAGAGGGACCATCACCTCCTTTCTCCTGCTGACTACATTAGTTTTGATACAGCCCAGAATGCCACTGGCCTTCTTGGCTACCTGGGCACCTTGTTGGCTCATGTTCAGCTGGCTGTCAAATAACACCCTCTGATCCTCTTCCTTCCACATGTCCTTTCTTACAGCACTTTGGGCAGACTACTCAACATGCACTGCATACAGCCTTGCTTATGCATGGATCACCCCTCTTGGAAGTCAGGAACCAGGTGTGTTCACCACCCAAAGGACACAGTGCCCATAAAACAAAGACACTTCTCATCTTTGTGAGCATACCCTGCATAATGCAGTCCCAAAGCCAGGCCCCTCTACAGATCACACACCCTCCAGCGTAGCTGGGAACATGTGTGCCCAGCTTTCAAACGCCAGAGCTGACGGCAAGCCTAAAGGGGAGAAGTTATGGTGGTACTGGAAGCTTAGATTAGATATTAGGAAGAAGTTTTTCACTCAGAGATGGTAAGGCACTGGCATAGGTTGCCCAGAGAAGCTGTGGATGCCCCATCCCTGGAGACATTCAAGGCTAGGTTGGATGGGTTCCTGGTCAGCTTGAGCTGGTGGGTGGCAAACCAGCCCACAGCAGGAATTGGGGACTAAGCGACTAAGTTTATGGACTCTTCCAACCCAAGCCATTCTATAGTTCTATCATTCTATGAAACTGAGAATAACGGAGTGAAGTGTTAAGCAAAAGATTTGCACAAGCACCTCTCCAATTCTAAGGAGCAAAAAGCATAGGTGGACATCACTACCTTCATATTAACAGAGCATGAATGGATATGGATGCATATATTTCTATTTTCTGCTTCAAAACACATAAGTAGACTGAGTTAGAATTACTGTTCTTGAATGCTACTGCCAGAGAAGACATTTCTCATGTTGCTGCCATATAAAAAATATGGAAAACATCAGTGATTTTGTCATCAGTAGCTAAGTTTCATGCACACTTTTAGCTCTTTCTCTGTAATTGAGTGTCAGACAAATGGCCCTGCACATCACACTCCATTCTCTGCAGCAGAGTTGCCCAGAGCCCAGGTGAGGTGCCTATTCTCCTGCCTTCCCTGAGCTGGAGGGACATGCCCAACTGTGTTTGGATTTGGGGTGCATTAGGGCCAGCTCCTCTGCTGGCAGAACTCGGCGACATCTCCCTGAAGTTATTATAAGTGATTCCGATGTGCTCAAGAGGAGGATCTGGCCCCTGTCAGGCCCTGGCTCCTCTGCAAAGGCTTTTAATGAGGCGCCAACTGTCCTGGCAGGGAGGAGGCACTGAGCAGAGCTCAGAGGCAGTGGTAGCAGACAGGAGCTCAGCCCAATAACATTCTTCTATGCAAGAATTAAGTACAGCACTTCTTTTAAGCTTAAAACAATTGTTACTGTTCTACTAAAACAAAGAACAACTCACACGCTAAATACCAGCAAGAAATGGGAGAGGAAATGAAACAAACAAACAAACCAAACCAACAAAAAAAGCCATCAGTGAGCAGGAAGCTGGATCCAGCCAGGCTGGCAGTACATGCTGCCATGACACCAAGGCATTGCTCTTCTTCAGCCCCAAACTCTGCCACAGAAAACTTACATATCTCCATAGGATTCCTCTACACTAACCACTCACTGCAGAAGGCCTTCAGCTGACAGCACTGCTGGGCCTCAGCACAACGCCAGGTGCACCAACAACCTTGAAGAGAACCCCAGCTCTGCTCAGGGTCTGACAGCACAGCTCCATTCAGATTAGGAGCGCTGTTCTACAGAACCCTGCAGCAGAAGGGATACAAATTTCTAAGCTGGAGATGATCTGGATACCCGATGCTAAAAATACAGCGAACAAAATAAAAGCTTCCCCCTACCTAACCACAAAGAAATAAACATAGATATAAATGATTCTTCCTTTCTGCCATCTATTTTTTACCTCTACCTTCATTCACCTGCTGGAAGCAGGTATGGCTACAGCCATTTGCCTTCATGGTCCACCAGCAGCAGCCCCGGTATGGCTCTAGGGCCCAGCCTAGCCCTACGGTTATTCAGAGACACAGAACATAGGGGGGGGCGGGGGAGGAAATCAAGCTCCCTTGCCCCACACAGCAGTACTACCACTACACTTCACAAAGGAGAAGCACATAAGGACTGTGAGCACACTGAGAGGTGGGAATTGTGACTTTCTCTCCAGATTCAGAAAGAAGGACCCCAGCTAATTAAAAACATCCATGAAGTCTAATAGTGCTTTTTGGAGCAAAATAATGAAAAATCCTAAAAATTCCCTAGGCCTCTCTTTCCATCCATCTAGATGTCACTTACTGTGATTCTCTGCCAGTAGTCCTTTCCCTCTTCATTGTATTTGAACTGCAGTGCCCCCGCACACCAGCACATTTTTGCTCTCATGCTGCCATCAACCATGGTGCGGTTGCAGCCTCTACAGCACTTCTATGCGCTGCTGGTCAAGGAACAGAGAAATTCTTTCTTGCCAGATTATCTCCAACCATGTGCATGTGTGAAATTAAGGGGAACAACTTGCCAGCATGCTGAGCACTCACCTTTGTAGCTGGCACTGAATGCAGCCCTAATAAGGAGCCAGCTGGTGCTAAGGGCTCTGAAAAATCAGCACCTGGCATCCTGCCTGTGCTTGGCATCCTTAAAGCAGCAGATCCTTTTAGTTTAATTTCCATACGTCCTCCCCATCTGCAAAAGTGGGGACGATACAAATCTGTTTGCTAGAGCTGCACCTCTCTTCAGCCCTGAGGTGAGGTGAGGCCACCGAGGTGCCTCGTGGTTCAGGTTCACATTGGAAAACAGGGACACAACAGCAGAAGGCTACAGCAAGACCTGCAGCAAGACACCAGTGGGGCAGAGGAGCCATAGCCGGGCGGCAGCGGGCAGCCCGCAGCAGGACCTCAAGCTGGGCTGAGCTCCCGGCCCCGACAGGCAGGCGGCTCTGGGATGACAACCTCGCAGGATGTTTGAGGTGCCCGTGGCCCTCCGAGAGACAAGTGGGAGGAGAAAAAAACCACCTGAAGTGTCCCACCTCTTGTAGGCAATTGGAAAAAAAAAAAAAAAAGAAGAAGAAAAAAGAAAAAAAAAGGCTTTAAGTGATAAAAGAGCTATGAGTGAGGCTTTCCCTCCACCTTTTTGTTTGTCTGTTTGTTTGCCACACTTTTAGAAGCAAACCTCACACCTCAGCGGGTAGCAGTGGGGCCAGGAAGGCCGCTGCCTCCCTCCTGCAGGAGCCGATCGGGTGCGGGCTCTGCCCTGCGGGACTGCAGCCCTGGGCAGCGGGAACGGGAAGGGAGCAGGCGGGGCCGGGGGGAACTCTTCTTAAATGTCATACTTTAATGAGGATGGAAAATGTGATTTTTCTGTACGTTCCAGATAAAATTCCTTGGGGTGGTGACCTTTAGCAGCGATTCTCTTAAGAGAGGAAAGTAGTCCAGTGTTTATCTGCACGCCCGAGAGCTTTCCCTAGTGGAAGTTTATGGAAGTGTTAAAGGGGGCGGAGGCGCTTGTCCAATGATCTGGAGGGGCTTGGAGCGGAGACCTCAGCTGGGAGACATTTAAATGGGAGACAGCTCGGCGCTGCTGCAATTTGTAGGCAGGATCCCAGCCTCGCCCTCTATGGACTGCCGGGTGGCTGCGGGCTCCCACGCCTCCCGTTCTGCCGAGTGACCCGCAGCATTCAGTCCCGCTGCGCCCCGCCGAGGAGCCGCCGCCAAGCCGGGCTCCCGAGGAGCCGCCGACGCCGCGCAGGTGAGCCGGGCGCTGCTGAGCCGGGCCGGGCCGCGCACTCGCAGCGGGAGCGCAGATGGGTCCCGCTTGGCCAGTCTGCGCGGAAGGCAAAACTGTAGTGCCTTTCTCCTACCTCCGGGGTGCGGGCAAGAGGAGGAGTCGTTCGTCGGTCCGTGGCCAAGCTGTTGGGCGTGCGGAGATGCCACCGGCTCGCCTGTCAGGGCCGTAGGGCTGTCACTAGCTTTTCCGCCGGGGATCGGGGCGCTGTGACATCTCTCTCCCCTGACAGGCGCGGGGATTGCAAAAGCTTCCCATCTCCGCCTACAGCATCACTCCCAACAAATTGGATGCGGCGCCCACCCGACTCACGGCGAAATCCCGGCCCGGCCTCTGCGCGGAGCGGGTCGAGGGCAGCTCCAGGTGCCGGACTCGCCGTTGCCCGCCCTGGCCCGTTCCATCCCGTCCCGTTCCTCCGAGCAACCCCGCTCCGCGTCCCCCCGGACAGGTGGCGTGAGCCGTCGGGGCCGCGCAGAGCAGGCGGAGGCACAAGTTGCGCGCTCGCGGGCGACTACGCGCGTCCTCGGGCGGGAGGAGCGGCGGCGCCTCTGCCGTGCGCAGCGCCACTTTGCTCCTCGCCGGCTTTGCTCCGCCGCCCCGAAGGCTCCGGCCGTCCTTCTGCCGCAGCGCTCCCCGCTACTGAGAGGCCTCGTCCTGGCGGAGCTGCCGGCCTCGACGTCGGGGCCGCCCTTGCCGAGCGGGACGTGAGCCCTACCGGCGTGGACGCGGCGAACGAGCCGTTTCAGTGCGACCCCTCGGGATCTGGGGGAGAGGCTGGCCGGCACCCGCGGAGAGGTCCCTGCCGGTGCCGTCACCGCTCTGCGGGGAGCCCGGCCGGGCAGGCGGCCTCCCTGACTCGACGGGAGCGCCGCGACGGCGGGGTGGCAAAGTACGCGGCCCTGCGTATCCCGCACCCCGCTCCTGGGGGCCGCTGCATCCTGCCAGCTGCCGGTGCGCTGCCCGCGGTTCCTCGCTGCGGGGCGGGGGAAGGCTCCGCAGGAGGCGGCGGGCGCCGGGCTCGCGCCGAAGTCTCCGCTCGAGACAGGGTGCGGGGCCCCCTCGGGTCTCAGACAGCGCGCACGGCCGTGTCCTGTCTCTCTTCCTGGGGGTTCAGTCCCAAACTGTGCTAAAGCGCTTGCTGTTCTCCCGGTGAGGTTGTGTAGAAATGCGTGGCGTTTTCCGAGACGTTTCTTCGTGTCGCTGCACAGCACTGTTCCCAAGGCCCGGTGAGCAAACGTTTCCGGAGCGACTGCGCTCTCGTAGTGTAGCTGGCAGCTGCGGGGCCGCCCCGACGTACGTTGGTACCGCCGTGCGCACGCCGTGTGCTGCCGCTTGCGTCCCCTGCAGAGAGATACCTCTCCAGAAGAGGTTTCTCCGTTCTTGATTTTTTTTTTTTTTTTTTTTTTTTTTTTTGCTCCTCGTGGTGCTGCCCACACGAGTTAAGCGGCTCGAAAAAGGAAACTGTGACTCACGTGAAGGAATTATTGGAAATGTAAATGTACCTAAACTCTACCAAAGAGCCATATTAGCTTTGCCATCTTGGTCTGAAGAAAAAAAATTAAAATGGTTCTGTGGGAACTGCTGTTGTTTTGCCTTCTTGTATATTTAAAAATACAGATCTATAACTATGAAAACATTACATAAGACTATTTCTGTAATTCATATGTAATAAACCAGGCAGAAAATAATTCTGATCCGCTGGGACGTAACCACTTTGGTTTTCTCAATAGCCAATGTTGTGTTTTGCCTCTTTGCTTGGCTGCTATTTGAAGCCCACCATGCACATTTATTTTTCTAGGTCTTCAGCAGATTATTTTTCATGCTTTCTGTCAAGCACATGAACCCGTGGCTCATCAGAATATTTTCCCAGTGAATATGGCCTGCAGATGAAATGCTGGGCCTGCAGAAAGCTGTGAGAATTTGCTGTGCATTTCAGTGAAGCTGGGATTCCACCCAACGCTTGTAAATGCGTCGCTGTGTGCACAGCATTTCAGGGGTCACTTTGTGGCTCTGCCTGGGAACTCATAGGAAAGCACTGTATAAATACTGACTTTTGGAGGTCCTTAAATTACAGTAGAAAATGTATAAGCTAAAAAATGACTGCTTAACGTATTGAGCAGTAAACTTGAAACGGTTTGCACTCCTCTGTGAATGGTTGCAGGTATTAATCTGCAGGCATCCTCATCTGCCATGAAATTATTGGATCCTAGTTCCAGATAATCCCTGTGTTGAGGGGATTTGAATGGTTGGGTCCAATTCTGCTCCCGTTTGAAGTTAGCAATAAAACTGCTGTTGGCTGTAGGACTGAGTGCTTGCAGATGAGGAGGAGGAGGAAAACTCAGTAGGGAAATACGGAAAGATTTCTGAAGTATTTTGTTACTTACTTACTTTAAATGTTAATGATATCGGATCTCTCATTGGATCTGAATAAAGTAAGTGGGACCAAAGTGAAGTGTTTTGTTTGTGGTCATCTACTTGTTCAAAGAATTTTCAGCTGAGTTCTCAGAAGGATTTCTGATCACGCTGCTGCTTCTACAACAGCCTGTACTAAGCACAGAAAGTTCTGCAGAAATTTGGCATGTACGTGCTTTTACAGCCTGATTCCTCACATCTCCTACCCAGGCTTCAGAGCTCTCACACATTCAGAATTATGGCCTGTGACAAGGCAAAAAAAGAAAAAAAAAAGAAAAAAAAAAAAGAAACAAAAAAAAAAACACAAAACAAAAAAAAAACCCAAAACCGATCCCAAACCATTTACTTCTGGTGAGACTTCCTTTGGGTAAAACCTTGGGCATGGTAATATGGATTGAGCTACTTGTGCTGTTTGTGGGTTGGTTGGTTTTGGGTTTTTTTTTTTTTTAGTAATAAAAAAGCTTTTGAGGAAGCTCAAACACTAAGTTCACAAATGCTAATTTGGGAATTGGCAATTGGGTGAATCATTCTAGTTCCTAACATAAGCAGAGGTGTTGTCTTCTCTTAGGAGCACTGGGATCAGAGAGATTGCAGGCTGCTTTAATTACTGAGGCATAATGCCTTATTTTCCTTTGTATTTTGCTTTTCTTCTACTTTTTTTTTTTTTTTTTCCCCCCAAATAATCAGAAATTTTTAAGTAAATATATAATAAGCTACTATGATAGGAAGTTCCTGCTCAAGCTGCCATTGGGGCTCATGAAGTCAACACAGCCTCTTTGGAGGGTCTGTGTTTCAATTGTATTTAGTCCTAAATATTTGGATTATTTTTGCTTTCAGATGTATATTTTGGAATATATAAAATTGGACCATAGCAAAAGGTGCTGCTGAGTTGCTAACTTTTACACGAATCACAATTTCTTCTTCGAGTATATAATATAGTTTCTCCATTTACGGTTATAAACCAAGCGTCTTGGTTATAAACCATGACACCAAGTCAGTGAAAAATTGTATTTCTTCCTGTTTTAGGGTTATATTGAAACACATGCTTGTGTTTCCTTAGGGTGAAGCACATACTACTTAACGATGCATCAATCTGGGATACATATCTTAAAATAGTAGACATTACCATCAGATTTTCCCCAAATCACCATCCCCAAGTACACTCATTTTCACATGACTAGACCTTACATGACTGTGCCATCAATTGCACATTTGTGGAAAAATGGTGGAACAGCGTGGAGATGGTCTGTTATAGGAACAAAAGTAGTACGGGAATATGCATAGTGGTGAAACAGGCACTCAGTTATGGGAAACTAAACAAACACCTGAAGTTTCCTGGCACTGCTTAGAAACTAGCAATTTATTTTTGGTTGCATGCAATGACTTTTTTCTTCTTCTAAGGTTCTGGCACCGTGTTGAGTAAATAACATGCATACTGTCTAAATACAGTGTGGGTATACAGTCACCAGAGAAATAAGAATAGTTTTGGAAGGAGTCATTCTGGTCACTTGAGGAAATAAGTGGTATTTTATAAGTGTATTTTAAAAAATATTTTACAGGCAGAACATGGAGACTGAAAAAAAACATGCTTAAATAACATTAAGGTAACAGAAATGGGAAAAAAACAGCAAATATGAAGTCCAAGCTGACACTTGAAATTACACTGCATTAGTCTTCAGTTCGATTTCTCAACGTTTTTTGTTTTGTGTCAGAGCCTTAAGGTTATTAAAATAGCATGTTCTGTGCAATATTGCACTTAGATGTTTAGAGCAGCCCTTCCAAACTGTCTGCTGGAGTCAGGAGCAGTGTAATGCTTACAGCCCTCTCTTGAAGTCTGAAGCTTCTTCCAAACTAAGACATACTGGTACTAAGCCGAAATGAACAAAATGAATGGCTACTGGTAAATAAATCTAAATGAATAAAAGGAATGCAGATATTTATCATGTGCGTCATAGGCTTCAGTATATTAACAGTCTGTAGACAAACACATAAAACATTAGCTCCACGAGCAAATCCCTACATACAACGGGAACCTCCTGTGACACTTTTCCACTCCAGCAATTCCTTTTCCAGTCTCTGGTGAGAAATACTTTCTGAACAGCATCAACCAAAACTTACTCTTTCTGTGTGACTGGAAAGACCTAGTAACTTAGAAATTAACAGACATCTTGTGCAGCAGATGATGCAATACCCTGAGCTTCCGCTGAGTCTCCAGGGGGCCCTTCCAGGGCTGGCACTTTGTCATCTATCTGCCTACCAAGGACACGGGCCTTAGTTTCACGTACATTGGCTGGGCAGTAGGACAAGCAGGAATCTTCAGTTCAAACAGTGATTCATCTTTAGTGATAAAATAGGTTAAATAAGGGATATGACTGCAGCACTTCAAAAAAGGTAGAGGATGCTGACTTCCTCATTTTTTTTATCCACAATTCTTCCCCTTTTTAGTGCCTGAGCTTCCCATTTCTGCTGGCTGTCTTCCAAGCTCCCCACAGTGAAAGTCTTATGAGATCCTCCCTCCCCAGTCTGCCTTGCTTGCTTTCACAGACAACACGAAGACTATGGTACTTCAGGAAGAGAAAGCAGCGTGGCAGGTCACTTTCTAGCTTGTGGGTCTTGAGTTGACCCAGCAGCCCAAAGAACTTGGAAGCAATAGAGTCGGTGGAAGATACCTGGGTTGTAAAGACTAAGGAAGGCATATAGGCTGATAACTAGGTTTGGAACACGAATGCAGTTTTAAGGAACTTGATTGTCTCTACTTTTTGCACTTCTTGAAGTCTTTTTTTTTTTTTTTTTTTTTATGCACAATCAACATTCTTTTGTCATACTGTTATCTCATGGTTCTTAATATCATACGAAATTCTACTGTCCCCATATGTCCTTTTGCTATCATGATGGACATAATGAATAAAACATGGAGATTTATGACTGCTTATGCGTAATATTTATCAAAAATTTGGAGTAATGTGAGGAGGTGTAATTTGAAATTACAGATGCATCTCTTTTAATCTATATCTAAATATCAGTTTGTGTTAGTTGCCTATCTTGTGCACATGTCTTACTCAGCCTAGATTTCATTACGTTTGGAATCAGTGGATCAGTTCAGAGGTGCAGAGCTTGGGATGCTGTATTCAGATAACAGGTAGATACAGCCTGCACACTGTATTTTGGATGTGCATATGCAAGGAGTTGTACAGAGCTTCCAAGTCTGACAAAGAAACATGTAGGATGGATGTCCTCTGGTACTACCGATAACTATGTCATAAATCCTAGCAAGGCATAAAACCATTCCTTCCACTTGTATAAATCAGGAGGAGCACTCTTGATGCCAATAAGCTATAGGAAGGGAATGAGAAATCTTTAGTAGGGTGCATGAAGAAAGGAGCTGGAAAAAGTTGCATGCAACACTAAGTGAAATTCTGTATAGACTTATTTTAGTGTCTGACTTTCAATCACAATATATGAAAGCTTTTATCACTTGGTAATTTAGAAACTGCTTTCCATCTGGTGAAAGCAAAGAGCTCATCTTTTACAAGTGTGCATTCATGCACGCACTCACATTTCTTTTATGGAGCTGAAAATTTACTGCATACCTGATTCCTGTTGATATCTGAAATCCACAACTGTGCTTTATTTCCTCAACTTCCTCTCTATAGGATGGTCCGCACACTGTATGCCATCGGCACCGTGTTTCTTCTGATGGGATTTCTGCTACCGACAGCAGAAGGGAGAAAGAGGAATCGTGGATCTCAAGGCGCTATCCCTCCTCCTGACAAGGATCAGCCCAATGATTCAGAGCAGATGCAGACACAGCAGCAGTCGGGCTCCAGGCATCGAGAAAGAGGAAAAGGCACCTCAATGCCTGCTGAGGAGGTGCTGGAGTCCAGCCAGGAGGCACTGCACATCACTGAGCGCAAATACCTAAAACGGGATTGGTGCAAAACTCAGCCCCTCAAACAAACTATCCATGAAGAAGGCTGCAACAGTCGCACCATTATCAACAGGTTCTGCTATGGCCAATGCAATTCCTTCTACATCCCCAGGCATGTCCGCAAAGAGGAAGGTTCTTTCCAGTCTTGTTCCTTCTGCAAGCCCAAGAAGTTTACCACCATGACTGTTACCCTCAACTGCCCCGAGCTTCAGCCTCCTAGGAAGAAGAAAAGAATCACCCGCGTGAAGGAGTGTCGGTGTATATCTATTGACTTGGACTAAGCCTAGAAATGCATTGTACCGATTGCACTCTGACTGTCTGCAATCATTGCCAGTGTGAGTGAGTGGCATGAACTAGCAAAGCTTTGGGGCTGGGTGAAACTGAAAGGAACCCGGTGAATTACCTAAAAAATAACAGCTAGCCAAACAAAAAGAACAAAACGGATGTAAGGGAAGAACAGGCACATGTGTGTAAGAGAGAAAAAGGGTGTGTCATGCAAATATATGAATGGTCACTCTGAGAAAAAAAAAAAAAGGGTAGGAAATATTAAAAATCTACTTACCCACAGTGATGAATAAGGTTTCCTAGCATATATTTACATTTTTGTCACTTACTGGAAAAGTGGAGCTGTGGCTTTTGCTAATGTTCACTTGCCATGCTATTTGCTTTTACTGTATCATGAGAAACATCAATGTGAGAGGACAATATATCTGAAAGCATGAATCTATTCTTAAATATGAAGTAGGAAAAAAGCAGTTACACCATAGCAAAAACATCACTGAAAATAGCACCTTTATCAAGAGTTTGTAACATGCTTCTTCAGAAAAATAACTAATACAAAGGCTGCTTTTGGAGAACAATGGGGAAGTGGGAGTGCTGAAAAGTCAGCATAGGTGGATGGAAAACAGAACCACAGCAAGTTAGAATGCAAAAGGCTAAAGTAAGTAGACAGGGGGAGAACAAAAGGGTGTGGAAAAAGGAAAGATACTTAAATAGGAAGACACAGAGGAAGAGATATTGTCTTCTGTTTACGTTTTGCTTTAATTTATATACCTAATCATATATTACATAAATTAAAGAGAAACTATATACGAGGCTATAAATATACTTCTGAATTCTAATGTCTCTCTACATCAATCAAACCCATTCCTGTGCCACTAGATCCATCTGATGCTTTGTATTTCTGATAGCAGTTATTCCTCATATTACATATATATGTATATGCAGTATCTTTTATTCATTGGTATCTATACGTACATACAATGAGTCTGCAGGCTCCATTGTGCCTATCTGAACTCTTTCCTCTTTTTCACACGCATACATAGAAACATACATACCGCAGCACAAAAATCTTGCTAAGCAAGATCGAGTACAGAATGGCAGTAATTTAGTACATAAAGAGCAAAGAAAAAATTAAAACAAGCATCATGTGACTGCAAATGCAATAACCACACAAGAGACAAAAGACACGACATTCATGACTAGTAAACATTGCATTGTTATTGTTATTTTAGCTTTGCCACAGGCATGCAGTTTGTTGAAAAAGAGATGCAGAACTTTGCCAGCAATAATCCTCTTTTTATATCTTTTACCACAGACTTGCATTTAAGCAGGATTTGGACTAAGTAAAGAGAATTTCCTGAAAATTAAGGACTAACTCATTCCCCTTCTCGTCGAGGGGGAAAAAACACATGAAAGGGGACACTACTTCCAGCAGCTCAATGAGTGTCACCTGGGAGATCAGCCTGTGTCTTCCCTCCTTCAGGATTAGGACCACAAGCTGGATGAGGGGGGGTGGCTTTTGGCAAGAGCCAGGCAGGGAGTCTCGTAGGAGAAGTCATTCCAGCAAGGTGGTCCCAAAGCCCTAGGGGCTGGCTAGAGAGCTACAGCTTGTCCAGCTGCACCTCAAAGTGGTTGCTGAGCCAGCATAGGGCACTGGCTTGGCAGGGCACCTTCTGTCCAGGTGCTGAAGGCCCTGTGGTGCTGCAGATCCTGCAGGCCTCCCTACCTCCACCTACGTGCCAACAAAAAGACCCCATTTTGCACCTTCAAAAAGGCATGGTCCTAGGCTCAAGTTAACAATGTGATGGGGCTTGAGTAGCCCAGGATACACTTTCCCCATCAGCAGCAAGACTTCTCTCCCCACAATCAGTGTAGCTGTACTTTCTCACACTAAAAGCCTCTGTCAGCCACAGGGTGATTATTTTGACAGGATTTCTGCCCATCGAGCTCTGAGACGGACGATTCTGTAACATGTCTGAAGGGTAAACCATACGGTGGCATGCCATAGATGTGTAGGATGTGAAGTTGTTACATTAAAAGCTACGGATGTAACTCAGTGTCTCATGCAATTACTGGTGATATCCTGCATCTCTGCAATTCATATATTTTTCCTCTGAAATCCACTGCTATGAAGTCTGTGTTCATGAGATTAAGAGATCGCAACTCATCGGTTCATATTCTTAAAATGAATTTCACTTGGTGCACTCTCACTCCGCAGGTATGACACATTTCTTCGTGGATTTTAAAATCCAGTTTTAAAATCTGGCATTACAGGAGGTAAATTTCCACTGTGTGGAATGTGAATAGTTAGAAAGATATGGATATTTAATGTTATTATTAATACAAATCCTCTTTCACTGATAATAGGCAGGGGTTGTTCTCCTTTAAATTAATTTTTTGAGTTGGTTTGCAGGTAAGAGGGCCAATCTCAGCCTTTGCTGAAAGTTTTATAGTCTGTGCTGTTTCTGTTCAAGGGCACACCTTAAGAATGAAATTATTTCTTCATCTGAAGTCGATAGCAAAACACCCCTTGTCTTTAACAGCAATGGGATTTTGTCCTACGCTGCTATGTCCCTAAACCTTTAGACGTGAAGCATGGCTTTAGACATTACTGACTTCAGTGTTCTGAAGGGCAACTGATAAAAGTGTTACAAATTCAAATGTTCCGAACAGCCCATGCACAGCTCACAGCGGAGCTCCCCTGGAGGCAGATCCCCCTATAACTATGTAAATTTTATACAAAGAACTTTTATGAATTGCTAGTTATTGCCTGAGAGTAAGAAAGTTCTGCTAACTTACAATTATACCAGATATTTAATATCAACCACAATATGTATTTAAATGTCTGCTTTATTCTAAAAACAATGGACTATATAACCTAAGGCTGCAGTATTGTCATGCTCGGTCTCACAAAGCAAAACTCGGTTTAAAATGAAGTTTTAATTATTTTGTAACTGAATGGAATTGGAATTTTTCTTCCCAGTATTTTGTACGTCATTTTAACTACTAGTAACAAATAAATAAAATATCTTCTTCAGTCCATGCCTATTGTTGTTTTTATTTTTTTTTATTTCTTCCTTAAGTTTCCAGCTCTTTCTGGATCTGTTGTACTTTACTCTGACTTCTGTGGCTTCTCTTAATTATAAAAGGGCTTAGATTCTGACAATGAGGCACAGAGACAGGCAATGGCACCATCATTCAACACAGCTAGTTCAAAAAGTCTTTAAATGAGATCTGTCACTTCCCCCTTACCCTTCCACAATTTATAGAAGGAAAATCTCAATCTCTACTCACACTTTTCCCCTTGTAAACCATATAGTGACAGTTCAAAATATAAATCAAACTTGAATGGTTATAGAGGTGGAGCTGGACTCGACATGCCAGCTTCATATGTTACCTCAGCTTTGTGTCTATTCATCAGTGCACTTCCACATAAAACAAAACAAAACAAAACAAAAAAAAGTAGGGAATATCTTTGCAATGCAGAGCTCTCAGCAAGCCCTTGACAGGGAAAGAGAATTATACAGGAGTTCAGGAGGATTTGTTGTTTCCTTTCACTGCCCCTAACATTCTCTGCCTTTGCAGTGGAAGCTGCTCAGATGGGGACCACAGTCCCACAGATCTATTCCCTTTCCTTCCAAGGAGCAGCAATGACACGGATACAGTCCCACAGGTAGCCAGCACGTAGTGGCTTCCTGTAGCACACCCAGGTGACCAAGAGATGAGCTGGCCAGCACCCAGCCACGAAGGGCAGGTGATGGTAATGTTCTGCACAGTTTTACTTCATGAGCAGCCCTTGTGAAATAATGGAGCTGACCAGTCTGTGGCGTACTGCTTCTTAGCACAACTTAAAGGCTTTAGCTTTACTCTTTCTTTATTTCTCTCCATTCATTTATTCTCTTGTTCTTCTAAAATTTACTGAAAGGAAAATACTGTTTGTTATTTGTAAAAGGCAATTGACTTTTTCTGGTCTGAGAAATGGATATGGTCGGATGTAATAAATTTCCATGAAGAGATGTGCAAATATGTGTTCATATGAAGATTTAAAACAGAGAGAACAACCTCCTGGGCTTACCATTCTAATACTTTCTAGTACTGTGGCCTTATTATTTATATGCTAACAAGCTGAGGTAGTCATTATAATTTACATTTGGCCTACATACCAAATTTAAATTGAAGGTATGTCTACTCTGAAGTCCTGCATGCTTTATAGATACTACACTAATCAAAAGAAGATGAGAGTGAGAGAGGGAATCCATGCACCTCCCTCAGCTTTCACAGAGACAGGTAGAAATAAGGCTATTTCTTGCTCTCTTTCCAGTGAGGCAGGCAAGATTCCTGTTCTGGATTCGTGCATGTGCTCTGTAACCCATGTGCTGTGCAGTAGATTTGCACACGTGATCAGATGGAGGCATCAAGCACAAGCCAGGCTGGACATACGTGAGACATCTGAGCAACACATGGCCATGGTGGGTGCAGCCTGTTTGGGATGGGTCCTTTTCTGGCTGCCTGTCAGCAGCAGTGCTTGGCCAGAAAAAGGGCACTGCGTCCACAAAAGTGATGCAGAAACGTAACCTTGTAATTCATTTGCTCCTGGGCAAAAAATAAAAAATAGACCAGAGAGCTGCAACTGTGGGGAATGATTTTTGTGCTATCCAGTGTGCAAACCTGACAAGTTGAAAGTGAGCAGTACTTTCAACAGATTCCTGAAAGGAGAAGCTCCCTGTCACTGCCAGAGCCTGCAATGCTGCTTTGCTTAACCCAGTGTGACACAGACTGCTCCTTCTCTTTTTAGATAGCATGGGTCTTATTCAATCCAAAGAATTCAAACCTCCTTTAGAAACTAATTCCCCAATTACTGAAATACAGCAGTCACTCAACACCAGCAGCAGAAGGCCCCAAACAATTTCTGAGTGATTTTGCTTCCCTGGGCAGCTGGACTAACCAAAGGACTGCAAAAGGGAAAGCTCCACAGTTTAACATTTCAGAAAATAATAAGTATAACGTATATTTGGATTTAGTTAAAACATTGGATGTATCACTGCTACATCAGGCCTTGGCTTTAAGATATCAAAAAGTTTAACCATAATAAGCTTTGGACACCTTGCTTTTTTCTTGTTTGTTGGCTGAGATTTAAACCAGAAATACAAGCTACATACAGGTATTGTAAAGAATCCCAGAAGTGCAGATTTCTGATGCTACCTTGTAATGTAGCTTCATAAAAGCATCTGAAGCTTGTCTGCACTGCCTGCCCAGAAATGTAGCTGATGACTTGAAGGTGCCCTTTGACAATGTGTGACTTCTGGCTGCCTGAATTCCACCCCAAGCTTTATTTGGTCTGGGGCGAGGAGGACAGAAATGTTAACTGCCACTTGCTCACTCTCCCAATACTTTTGAAAAATATTGAAAATAAAATTAATTGTCTGCCTCTTTCAAATGGCTGAGGGGCAAGATGTGAGGATCAAACTATATACTGACATAAAAGAAGAATGTCTGGGATCACATTAAAAAAACAAATTTCTGAGTTGTGATAAGCAATAACCTTTCTATGCTGTGATACAGATGTAAGTCACATAGTTTGAGGATGAATCAAATCAAGAAGTTACACTGACTCCCAATAAAGTTCCGCAAATAAAATTTGGAATTGCCATGCTTTCATTTCTTTTTTAAAGAATACCTTATGGAAGCAGCTATATTCCAATTCAT